GAATATATACATATTCTGCCCTGTTTGAATATATACATATTGATTGTGTATAACAGTAGTCAGTAGAAACTAGAAATCCATTGCAATTGAGATTATTGCTTAGCTGGTTATTGGTTAATCTCCAGACTCCAGTGCTTTGCAATGCAGCTCTGGATTGAATTGTGTAGAAGTAGAACACTAGATTGAAATGAATTTTGTAGTCTGTGTAACTGTGTTTTTGAATTTGCTTTTTAGCAGGCATGGAGAAATATGTTAAACGAAAATCCGTATGTTCGAGTGTGGGGGAAAATGAAATTATTGTTGAATCGAGTGTTGAAAAAGAAAATGATGGTCGGGAAGAATCAGATACTAGGAGAGAGAGATCTTGAGGATAAAATTGATTTAGCACAACTGACGTATTGACGTATTTTCGTTAATGATATGTAGTTTTAAATATTTTTGAATTCTCATTTTTGACCCCACAAGACAAACTGTCTGGGTCCGCCCCTGTTCTCCACCCCGTTTCCTCACAATTATGCAACATTAGGGATTCTTGCAAAATCAAAAAGCTCAGCTGCCGTCTCCAATCTCTTGCAATTCAAGTATTCAACCACTCCCAACAATCCAAATCTCCTATTTCAAATTTTCAGAGATGGAAGAAGAGGTCAGTCTCTATCAGATGTATTTTGCTAAAAAAAACTCGGCCAACTTGATTTTATAATTGGGCAAATTTTTCTAAATCATACATATATGTTTTCTTCTTCTGTTAACTCTTTATTTGGTTTATTTCTCGACTTTTCCCTTATTGTCGGGCCGATTTTCTTGAAATGGGATTAGGTTTCTCGACTTTGTCCTATTCTGAGAAGTGAGAACTGTATGTATTATGTAATAGTCCCTTTTGTTTTGGTTTTTTTTTTTTTCGATTTGGGCCATTTGAAGTTATTTTGCTTATTTTGGTTGAGAAGTGAGAGCTGCGCCTGCACGTAGTCCGTCTGTAGTCCCTTTTGTTTGGCCACTGACATTCAGAAATTAGAATATACGTGTATTGGAAATTTTGATTTCTGGAGAAGTTTCCAAGTTTCCAAGTTGAAGATATATGTGAAGTATATTTGTTCAGAATTTGTTGATGATGTTGTAAATGTGATAATTGATTTCTTTGTTTATACATGCTAGCTTTGCATTTATTTTTTCAGTTCACTGTTGATAATAATTTACCGCAAAGTTCTTCTCCACCAAAGAATCGTGCCAGGGGAAGTTCTTTGATTATTGTTTTTATTGTTTCTAATGCATATTTCACTATATATAATCTAGAATTTGTGGAATTTGGGATGAAAGTTGATCTTTAGTTAACAAAATAATATAAGGTTCATTTAGATAGTGGTAGAAAATGACAAAATTTTATTATTCTGTGAAAATAATTAATAGTATATTTTACAGGTATTGACCCGCCGGTTGAACCACCGGGTCAACGGTTGAACCACTGACCCGTTGACCCACTGTCCGTCCGGGTTGGTGTCCGGTCCGGGTTTCAAAACTCTGCTCTCAAAACTCAAAAAGTACAAGATTCTGCTACACACGCCTACCGCGTGGCTACCCCCACCCTACTCCCACCCACAGAGTATAATTGGAATGTAATGCTCAGTGTATGTATTGATATACAACAGGAGAGGATAAAGGGTAGAAACAGAAATCATTGTTACTGCTAAAATGGCTGAAACTGAGAATTCATCACCCGAAATATTCATACCTGACGAATGGTCTAAAGCAGCGGAAGCCATAACCAAAAATTCAAATTCTTCAAACCCTCCATCCGTTTTTGTTTGCGGCCCCAAAAACAGCGGCAAAACCACTTTCTCCCGCCACCTTCTCAATGTCCTGCTTCAAAGGTTTTTTTTTTAAATTTGGTATTAATTTTTATTTATTAATTAATTTGTTAAACTGGGCTTTGTTTCTTGTGTAGAATTTCAATTCATGGCTTAGTTACTGCATTATTTGTTGTTGTTGAGGGTTTTCTTTGTTCATAACTGGTTTATTGGTACTTCGAATAATTTGATAAATTTGTTGTTTTTTTATACTTGGATGAATTGTTGGCGATATTGAATTATGTCTATGTATAGGTTTATTTGAAAGATTGGAAGTTGTCTATTTTTTCATATTTTTATTGGTCCACAAGCTGGAGTTAAAATATGAAATACATCAGCATTCTGCATGTATACTGCATTATACATGGTCATATATTTATGCCTGTGTGTCTGCTTGTGTTGATTTGCAAAATCTGAACTTGAACATATTTTCGCATTGAATTACATAGAGATCAATCTATAGTGGTGTGGATACGTGCAATTCACCAGACCTACGAATGTATTCTTGACACTTTGCAATACATCTATTTCTATGAATTGGTAGATGGTGCCCGCATAGAAAAGAGATATATGTACAATGGCATTATGCATGTGAGAGTGGGTGGTATAATCTGCAAAATTGGAGCTTGAATTTGTTTCACATAGAGTGTATTTGTAGATTGATGAAACGGTGTAGGAAGAACCTGCAAATCATAATTCTGATGGAATCCCGATTTTTCCTTAATTAAGAGTAGATGTTCAATGTATGAGTTTTGTACTTCAGGTACAGCAAAGTTGCTTACCTTGATACTGATGTTGGGCAGACGGAATTTACTCCTCCTGGTCTTCTATCGCTTACCGTGGTTGACAAAGTAACTCCAGGTATGTTAAGATTTGAGGTTCCATCTTAAAAGGTCAACTTTATTAAGAGGAGTAGCCCAAACTCTTAAAATTGATCTATGTTTTCATCTTTATTCGATGTGGAATTTTATCCCTTAACATGCCCCCACAAGATGGTGGCTCGTTTGAGCAAACCAATTTTGAAATCCGAGTGCTCAATTTTTTTGTAGTCTTAATCAGATCGAATTGCTCGTTGGAGTTTATTGGGTTCTGATACCATGTTAAGATTTGGGGTTACATCTTAAAAGGTCAATCTTATTAAGAAGAGTAACTCAAACTCTTATAAATTGGTCTATGTTTTTATTTTTAGTCGATGTGGGATTTTATCCCTTAACAAGGTACTTTTGCAAATGGTGTTTACCGTTTTACTGATGCTCGCTCTCTCTCTCTCTCATTTTTTTTTTTTTGCCCAAGTCTATTTTTTGTTTCTTTTGTAGTTGGATCAAGTTTTCCTAATAATTTTTTATCTTTTCTGCTTGTTATTTAGATTTGACAATTCCATGTCTCAAAACCCCCGACAGGTATAAATCATTTAGCATTTATTTGATTATTTTCTGTATTTAGCTACTAGAGACGAATATGCAATTGATAAACTGCTTATGCATTTCTTTGGCTGGAAGAGATACTTTTGAGGACGAGTTTGATAAAAGATTAATTTTTTAGACATATTGCAAATATGCGTTGATAATGTTGTTGTAGTTTGTTTTCTGGCAATGATGTTCTCCTGTAATATGTGTTGTTTTAATGTTACTTGTTTGAAAATGCTAATAGCAATCACATCTGGAAGGACATAGAATTTGCCCATCTCATTTAGCATCTGCAATTATATTAATGCATTTTGGTGTTCGTCTGTTCATTAATGCAAGCTTCTTTGGAAGTTTGAATGAGTTCTCATAATGATTATTGAAGTTGCATTTCTTCTGAAATGAAGCATGAAATTTGTATTTTCATGAACAATTAATTCGTTAACTCTTGGTCCCTAAAATTTGATAGAATGTAGAGATTATGTACTGCTTGTGCTGTGATCTCTTAATCTTTTGATCTAGTGTGCAAATAATCAATAATTTGACTAGCAATTCTCTATGCACACAACATTATACTGTGGAGGCCTTGTTTAGTGAAATTTAGTGCATATTTTCAGCTGGTTAAGCAATATGTCTATCAAATATATTGAATGAACTTTATCCAACTATTTTTTTGTTGAGATTTTTTCTTTCAGATGCTTTTTCTTCGGTGATATCTCCTCAAAAAGGAACCCAACAGCATATTTGACCTGTATATTTTCCCTGTATGATCACTATCGAAAAGAATACTATATGAAATGCACAACTGACAGCCAGGATAGTGCTGGATTGCCACTTGTCATAAATACCCCTGGCTGGGTTAAAGGTGTACTGTCAATCCTTCTATTTCTCTTGACATGATGCTATAATTTTTAGTTTTTTTAATTACTCATGCTAAGTGTTACAATTACTCGTTCTCGTACACATAGATGTCAGACTGTCTTGTTTATTTATTTGTGTCAGGTATTGGTTATGAAATACTGGTGGACATGTTGAAGTATGTGTCTCCTACACATGTGGTTAAAATTTGCATTTCGTCCAAGATTAAGAACTTACCAGCTGGGGCATTTTGGTTAGACGAGGGAAATATAGATAAAGTTACCGTCATTGAGATCAATTCTGCTCGTCGGGACCATTTGAAGAGATCGTATGTTCTTTGCTTTTCATTTTTATGTTATAACTTAGTTTACTGAAAATTGTTTTTCCTTGTCAATGTGAATTATATGCGGTGGTCTAGAGTTTTTCAGAATGTATAAGTTTGCCCATGTATATTTTCTAACAATTAGTCTTTTCCAGGTTGCTGGTACACAAAGATTCTCGTCATCTGCGAGATTTACGTGTAATGGCATACTTCAGACAATGCTTTCCTAGTGAGATGAATATCTCCACAATTAAGGAACTTGCTCGTGCATTAGCCGCTCACCCTCCTTATGAAATTTCTATATCAAGTATCAAAATAAAACATATTCATTGTGAGGTATGTTCAACTATCTTGCATCTTGACATTATTTGCTGAACATCGATATACGTCATTTGTTTTTCTAATTTATGGTGGTCATTTGATTCCATTATCTAGGAATGAATTTTTTGATAGTGCACTATCTTACTGTTAGGTACCAAAGACTGAAACTTTCTACAGCTTGAATGCGACTATTGTTGGTCTGGCAGTTAGTTCTGGAGTTTCCGACCAATTACCTCATTGTGTTGGCTTGGGTTGGTCACCTTGTCTGAACTTTTTATACTTGTCCTAAGCTGCTTTTGATTCTCGTTCTTCTTTAAGTTTTATATTTGAATCATCAATCATTATATTATTTCACGTGAAGGCTCAGTTTTGCTTTTTCAAAAACCAGGAATTGTGAGAGGCATTGACACTTTCAAAGGTTTGCTCTATGTTATTAGCCCCGTCCCACAGCAGACTTTGGAGGATGTTGATCTTTTGCTTCAAGGCTTCATTCCAATTCCTACTTGTTTACTGCAGGTACACCTCTTTCCATGAACCGCCTTTCATTTTCACTTTTTTCTGTTTGCAATATACAAAATTATATAGTCTACATAAAAATAGTTAAATAGAAGTTAAAGGGTAAATTATTTATGTTGCGTACTTGAGAGCAAATGAGACTTTTATTTGCTTCTTTTTCTCCTTTTCTGATTTAATCCTAGGCAACGTATGAATTTCGGTGAAACATTACCTTGTTTGGTTTAGTTAAAAATCATATTTTTAGTAGGTTTTGCTAAAAGTATGAAATCTATGGTTGAAAAATTAATAAAAGTTGTGGGTCCCTTAAAATGTGTGGCTGAAATTGAGTTTGAAGATAAATGAGTTTTAGAAAATGGTTACAAACAAGGGCTAAAGTTAATCACTCCGTGCATTTTTGAAGCAATCATCCACAAATAATAGTCAGATTAATCATCAAAGTGGTCGGTAATCCGTCAATATTAGCAAGCTTAGACGTAACTTGCAATGACCCCACTTTAGAAGCAGTCTGCACAAGGTTTAAATGAAGGTCTATTTTTATGCTCAAATGAGATTAAGGTCGTGGCTAATTTCAATTTATGATTTCTAGCCTCCGAATCAGTTTTTATCGCATAGGAGAAAGAATTAGAAAGGGCTGGGGGAATTAATGCTGGTAATTAGAAGAAAAAACAAGCCAAAATCTTAACATAAAACCTTAGCCTATGTTTGGTACATATTGATGATCATTATTGAGAAAAAAAGATGTTTTGAATAGTGATTTTTTGGAGAATGTGTTGTTAAAATGTAGGGGAAAGTTTTGGGTTACGTTCAAAATATTTTATTATGTAAATGTGTGATTGAAAATAAGTATGAGAATTAAAGAGTTTTGTTTTAAAGGGAGACAAATATGGGCTTATTTTTTTTCCAACTTATTTTCAACTGCACAATCTCTCAATAAAATAATTTTGCACGTGGACACATAACCTCACTTCTTAACCATGCATTCTCCAAAAAAATCACTTCTTACAAAATCTTTTTTCAAAAAATCTACATCAAACATGTCCTTAGTTTCATACTCTTTTAGAATCACTATGTGCAACCAGCAAATGGATGAAATTCTGTGCTTTTGTAGTTATATATGGACTTGATTTCTAATTGACTAATGACGATTGTTGAATTCGGCTATTGTTTTTGTATATTTTGGGTTTACTTCAATTTGCTTGTGCCATTAACCTCGAATTGGCTTCAATGATTCTTGAATTTGGCTACAGTTCCATCAAATGAGTTTTATGTTCGCCTAAAATTGCTTCGTCCTCCCCTTCTTTTGATTTTGTTACCATTTTTGCATGTTTAGCTATTTGTAATCCCTCGAGTTTTTAATTCGAACTCTCTTTTTCAGATACAAGGCTGTATTTCCCCTTACTTGTCTGCAAATGTCCTATCTACTAATTAGGAACGAAGGCCGGTAGTGAAAGAGTTTTGTATACTGTCTCTTCTACAACTATTCGAGATGTTAGCTCCTCCACTTGTGTCGTGTTTGGCATTTATTACTTTGGACACATTTTACGTAATTTATGGATCTAAAAACATGTTACAATGAGAGAGATTGTTCACACTTGATTGTTTTCCATGTCAAGTCTTGTGTACCACATATGTTACGGTTGTCTAAGTATGTGCTTGTGACACTAACTAATTTACCGTAACAAGTTGAATTTAACTTTAATGTTCGACTTTTGGGTCCCACGACTTTTTTGAACATGTATAACCTTGCTTACTTATGAGAAGCATATCCTTTTTTATGTCCACCCAAACACGCTCTCAATGAGTTCAATTAAAGTTGTCAATTTGGTTTGTCAGTTCAAGCAACTCGGCTAGAGAAAAGCCCGAGCTGAGCCCCTCGAGCTAAGCCACATGGGTCGGCTCTTGTTACGGGCCAAAAATGCCTGTGACCAGTCGAGCCTTGAAAAAAGGAAGAAAAAACCTACGTGTAGCAGGCAGTATGTCTGCCTGCAATAGTAGGTAGCTGCTGCTGCCTTACATGTAACTGTCACACACAGCTATACAGGCTCGGCTTGATAAGGCTCGAGTCGAGCCCAGATTTTTTTAGTCGAACAAAAGTTCGGCTTAGCTTGGCTGGGAAAAAAAAAAAATCGAACCATTTTTACTTGAGTTAATCTCGAGCCTCGAGTTTCGGTTCAGCTCGTTGACATCCCAAAATTCAATTTGGTCAGAGTCGATACTTTGGCAAGTAAGCAATCATTCAATGGAAGTATAAGTTAGAAATCACTCGATTCTCTAACTTTATGAGGAAACTCTCGTAAGTGAATTTCAAATTTTATTCCTACATAACCTAATCAATTTGAGCAGGCACTCGATCTTTGACAACACGGAATCATTGATTAAACTTAGAAGTTGTATTCATAATTCGTCGAAAAATAAAAATAAAAAAATCTCAAAAATCCAAAATTTAGCCCAAAAAAGGGAAGTGTTGTTTCCTTGTTTTCCTAGGTAGGTTGAGAGATTGACAGTTAATTCAGGTAAATGGTACGCTTGGCAATTTTTCTATTTTCCAAACAACCTTTACCATATATAGCTCAAATCAGCACCACCATTCAGTTCTTCTGCAACTTAGAATCAGACAAAATTTGTCCTTCTTCCTCGTACAGACAAAAGCTAGGTAGAGAAATATATAGAGAAAAGAGAGAGGTCATGATCTGGGGATGGTCATGATCTATCTCATTTAATTTCACTCTTTTGTGTCGATCTACGAGTCGGGATTTTTCCTCGGTATCTGTGTCAAGATGCCGGCTAAATCGTTCAACAGCTTTGTCGAAGAGAAGTTGGGAAAATTCCCACATTTTGTGATATATGCCATTGTTGAATGGGTGATGATCATTTTACTCTTCGTCGACGGGTTTCTCGCTTTCATTTCCAATGAATATGCCAAGTTTTTTGAGTTGACAATTCCGTGCTTGTTTTGTACGAGGATTGATCATGTTCTTGTTCATAGGCACCCGAGTTTTTACTACAACGATTCAATATGCCAGGTTCACAAGAAGGACATCTCATCCCTCGCATACTGCCACATGCACCAGAGGCTATCTGATATTCGTAGTATGTGTGAAGTTTGCCTTCTTTCGTACGCAACGAAGAAAGATTCTGATTGCGAAAAGTACAAGTCTCTAGTCGGGATTTTGCACAAGGATATTGATTTGTTCGTGGAAGATAATCCGATAATGAATATAGAAAGGGGAAAGAAGGATGAAATCGAGCAATTGAACGATAAGGGTGGGATTCCTAGATGTGGTTGCTGTAATGAGCCTTTGAAAAGAAGACCCTCCTCTAAGTATAACAGAAGTTTATCGATGAATGCTCCAACTCCATCTCCTAGGGCATCCTTACTCAGAAGCGAGGAAGGACGAAACATAGAATTGCCTCACGTTAGGTACTCCGAGCTTAGATTCACGTCAGATGCCGAATCAGAACTTCCTGAGGAGGAATATGCTCCAAATGGAGATAATCGGAGTGAGTTATATTGCTCTACCACTTTCTTTGTTTTCTGTTAGGATAAAATGTATAAATTCTCTTTCACCAATTGATTCCGTTAGCAATTTTTTTTTTTTTTTCTAAGGTTGACTCTACAATACTTCGAAGGAAGAAGTTTCTTCTTTATGTTTTGTTCTGTCCCTATTAAATAATGCATATCAAGTGGGTGTTCGGTGGGGATTAAAATTAAACTTTTAGTAAAATGTGATAGAAGTTTTTGAAATATGCGGTTGAAAAGTTGACGGACCATAAAAGACGTGGTTAGTATTGTTTGTTTGACTTAGATTAAAATCTGATTTTAATCCGAAACAAACAGGGCAAATGTGCCTCGATACGTTTAACATTATTTAACTTTTGTGTATGAAATCGGCGCTAAACTGGTTTGCCCCTTAAAGGACAAGTTTGTGATGCCAAAGATATTACATGAAATTGGAATCCTATTGGCTTGTCTAGATAGGAGGATTGAACAGTACTTGATAATGCTAAAAAAAAGAGAGACTAAAATTTTTTTAGTGTCTAATCCTATTCAGTACGAATAACAAACATGCACTAAGTACATTTTTTTGTTGTTTTAAAGTAGGAAGAGAATATATCAAAGCTGCTGCAGCAGTTCCAATGCTACCAGATTATGAGGATTATGAAGATTTTTGCAAAACCCCGAGTTCTGTCCGAGGAGGAAACAAATTTTTCGGGATTTCATTGTCCGATTCTACTCAAGACAGTCCTAAATGGGCTAACAGGGGAGCTCGAAAACAATTGGTAGACAACCTTTTTTCCGAGCTTAATGATGCAAATGCTCATAATGAGACAGGTAACGACATGTTGAGTCATTTGAAGAGACAAGTTCGTTTGGATCGCAAGTCCCTGATAGAATTATACATGGAACTGGATGAAGAACGAAGTGCTTCTGCAATTGCAGTGAACAATGCAATGGCTATGATTACTCGACTGCAAGCAGAGAAGGCGACTGTGCAAATGGAGGCCTTACAGTATCAGAGAATGATGGAAGAGGAGGCCGAATACGATCAGGAAGCTATGCAAGTAATGAAAGACTTGCTCTTAAAAAGAGAGGAAGAAATAAAGGTTTTAGAGTCTGAACTCGAGGCGTATAGAGAAAAATACGGGCATATCAAGAAAGTAGGCAGTGACATTGTTGAAGCTGATGCTGATGAAAATTATCAAGAAATAAAATCTCAGTCTTTGTCATCGTTAGGTGAGAAATCAGAATCTGGTAGCTCGGGTGGAGCAGATGAACATGAAAAGGACCGTCCTTATGATAGATCAATGGAATACAGAGGAGGGATTTCGGATGAATCACATTTAGATTTTGAGAGTGAACGGTCTTATATTTTAGGTCTTTTGACTGAACTCAAGAAAAAGATAAATACACCTTTAGATGAAGGATCTGATCTCTTGGAGGTCGATGCACTTGATCATGAAGACAGGACTAAGGTCACACTTAAAAGAGAAGTGTCTACAATTAGGGAGAGGTTAAGAGCTATTGAAGCAGACAGTAGCTTCTTAAAGCATACTGCAATGACACTACAAAGAGGCGGTGAAGCAACTAAACTATTGACCGAGATAGCTCAGCATCTTAGGAAGCTTAGGCACTCGAATAAATCTTCCTCAGACGATTTAGATGCATGATTTTATTTTTTTTTTGTCCTAAAGGTGATGTCTTATTTTATTTTGTCTCTTCTCCTTGATGGTATGACACTGTTGACATATTTGGTATTCCGTACTAAGCAGGATTGGATAGTACATTAAATAAGATTTCAGCTTCTTTTTACCATCTAATATTGTGCAATCCACCTCACCAAACACTTCATTTAAGTTCAGCATATTATTACTTATGTAATCAACTTTTCTGTTTGCAGTTCCTTCTTATTCTCTTTTCAGTTTCCATCTCTCGTATTAGGATGTAAATACTTATAGCTTTACTGGACGTACACGGAGTCCCAGCATGGAAGTTTCACGGAGCACTTGGTTGTCATTTCCTCAACATATTTCGGTAAATTTCCAATACCTCGTTAATTTCTAACTTCAAATCAAGAAATCTAGTAGTTTTTACGCGTTTGTAATAATTGCAGGATGCGAGCATGAACCAATTCTCTGTGCAGGAAAACTTTGCATGAAGATCAGGCAGTCTTAATGTCAGAAGAAAGCTGTTCATCCACAAATAATCTAAATTTAGCACAGAGCATTTTGAACATAGATTGTTAGCTGATCGAAAATGGACTGACTTGTTGTTAACATCCCTTCACAGATAGAGTCGAGCATTTGCTGGTATCAGGGGAGATTAGAAGAAAGGGGGCGCATAGAACTCAAAGCTTATTAGCAGCATTACAAAAAATGAGTCTTGAAGTCTTTGATACAATTTAGATTCATTTTTGGTATTTATTTATTTTTAATTTTTCATGGACAAATTCTTTCTCTAGAGCTTCGCAGAAAAAAAACTTTTATTGGAACGTGCTTATGATTGATTTCTTGTTCAATGGTTTTCATAAGTGAATGAATTTTGAATATTAATGCATTTTGATTGGTTTTCCTATGTGAAATCTAAGGAATGTTTATAACAACAATAAACCAAGTCTTGTTCTCAATACATTTCGAGTTGACTATATGAATCATTTCTCACATTTCCTTGCCTTGTCATGTGCTGTTTTCTATTGTGAGTTGCTTAGTGTATATTTCCAAGTTGCACAAATGGACTATCTTCTCGAGGAGAGCTTTAGTTTCAATCCCCCTTCTGACACAATATGTACATTATGCTAATGTGCCTTGGATGATCCACATTTTAGGACCAGGTATCAATGAATACATTGAACTATCCATATGGTTGAAAGTCCTTAAACACAATGATGCAATTATCATAGACACACTCTACCACTCAGTTAATATCCCATTATTCAAGCCTCCAATTTGATGGTGCGATGCCAAAATGCATCTTTGTAACCTTCCAAGTTCAATTCAAAACTCCCAAGGACAAGTTTTGTTACATTTTGTTTGCATTACTAGACAATAATACAAAGATAATCTTTTAACTTCTTTTTCTTTCATTTTTCTTAGCTATTTGAACTTGTGCATAGAGATATGAGGAGGGATGTCCTAGCCCCCAGTCCACCCCTTTTCCCAACATAGTTCGAAATTTTCAGCAAGCCCAAACTGGCCCTGTCAAAGAAAATGAAGCCCTCCAAAGCCCGTATTGAGCCCGGGTCATCCAGGATTCAAGTTCAACACTTTTCATATAGTGGCCCGCGGGCCACAGGCCTCTATTGCCATTTGCCAGGCTCGGTACGACTGTACTGGACCCAGCCCGGTGCTATTCTACACCTCCATTGCTGCATATTTATGGACTGATGAACAAAGAAACATTGTAGGAGCAAATTGAAAGAACATAACAATATAGTAATACATTTACTTAAGAGAGCTGCTTTAGGTCACCATTACAAAGTGCAGTAAATTGTGTTAGGTAACAATTCATCTCTACAGATAAATAGAGACTGCCTACAAATTCAAGACTTCTATTGAACATAGAAGCAACAATTCTCTGATAACAATGCAGGAGATGAAGTTTCCTTCTGACTAACGACAATAAATCGAGGTTCTAATATGTTGATCTATTTCTGAGCTGCTAAGATATGGGTCATGTTGGTCGTTCAAAGACATTTCCCACCTGCAAATCGAGCCATTCGACTTGTGGTCCTTGAGTATATTCTCTTGGTGCTTGTAAGCCAAAAATCATTCCAGTGACATCGAAAGTTGGTGTTGCTAGCTGCAAAACAATATTTACAAGTCAAAAAACATAAATATTGACCGTCGAACGGGAATCTCTGCCTTGCCGCATTATTTGGTTGAGTAGAACTAAAATTCACATACATCAGATAATACTTTGAAAGAAAAAGATAGCTTCGCTCTAATGAATGTGCTGAATGCCTAGAACATTTTGAAGGAATATACCTGAATGTAGCAGTAACTCAACAAGAGTGAAGGTATTTTCTTATAACGACATTCACAATGCGGCAAACAGCAACTGAAACTAATTCACATTCAAAAGAATTATAGTGACAAAGATAGCCTCCTAAATATGGTCACTGGAAGAACTGAAGTTGAAACCAAAAGGGCCATAGAGTAAAACATGGGAAAGGGGCTTTTATATAGATTTATTTCTGAAGTTAGAGTCATCAAGTCATCGGCAGTGGTGTTCTGGGAAGACACCTGACTTTTTATTTCAACAAAGCGTGTGAAGTATCCATCCATGCATACAGTCGTGGAATTGTTTACACTCACTGGCACTCTATGAAACAAAAGATTTCTCAAATACTATTAGAATGAAACGGTGGCAGAGGACAGCAGGACATGGGAGCAACGTGGGAACAGGACCGGGGGTGGGGTCTAGGTTAATTGTAGTTCACATTTGTGCTTTCACGATTGGGATAGTGTTAGGAAAGGCGAAAGGAATCGTGACAAGGAATTTTCTTCACTCTTGGGCACGTTTTCTATCATTTTTCAATTTTGACAGCTCACATCAACTGAACTGTACTCTGAATCGTCCGTGTTTTAATCATAACCATAAGATCAATTTAAGTCCACAGAAGACCAAGACCATAGAGAGTACAGTGAACACAACGAAAAAATTCAAAAAGAAGGATAAAAGGCAAGCAGTAAGTGCAGCAACTTTATTTGGGCCCCAGTTAAAAGAGAAACACCAAAGGTTATGCGTGAATTGTGGTTCCTAGCTCCTACCAGTTTCTAAAAGTCATCATAAAAAAAATGTGTTTGTATGGAAAAGGAGAATAAACGTCATTTAATGCTGAATTGCAATGCACCTCTTTTGTTCCAAACCCCATAAAAGAAAGTAAAACTATTAAGGAATCTTCATAATTTCGTCCCTAAGAAACCCATAAAGGGAAAAATCCCTAGACAATTTCGGTCCCTCAACATATGTAAGAGAGTTCTGCATAATCCTGAGAACAATATTTTATAAGATTCTGACGAACTAGATCTTCCCCTTGAGTGCATATAGAGTCTAGTTTATTACAAACGATAAATAAATCTCTAACGAAATTCGAAAAAAAGAATATAGCATCATAGCGTAATTGGAAAGATTTCAGTTTCAGAAAATAAAAATATGTTTTATAAGGTGGTAAATATCTGTGCATGGAACTCACTTATCTTAGGTTCAATTATTTTATGGTCTAACCACAAAACAAAAACCTCTAGCTACAGAGCACGTGTTTACTTGTCTAAAGTACATAATTCATAGACCAAAAAGGCCCAAGTTGGATAATACCCATGATATGGTTCTTGCCCATCCTGTTAGTTACTTCTTTCATATCTTAGCTGAGTAAATGACCGGCCACAAATTTTTATAACTGAAAAAGCACGCAGAAGGGGAGGGGGGTTGTGCTGCTGCATGCACCGGAGCAATTTTTAAGTTTGGTATAATAACATCTCCTATCTTAGCAATTGATGCAATTAGACTTACTTCTTTGGGCGGGAACCCTTTGATCGTCGGGTTCAACCTTGTATTAACTGGTTCAAGCTTCATAGACAAATACTAGATCATCAACATAAAAAAATGTTAGATGGAAGAGAAAGTACCGAAAGATATATATATAATAACATATGTCAAGATATGAAGAGATACCTCAACTTGACGCTGTAGTGACTGGATGTAATTAATAATTTCGTCAAGAACAACAGCTTTTCCGATAACCTGAAGAAGCGAATTTCATTTATCATCATGTTGCTTCTAAAGAACACTATAAAATCGAATTTTGAAATCAATCATAAACAGCAATATCCTGACAATATATATATGTGCGTGTGTGTGTGGATTGAAGCTTTGACAACTTCATATCGAACTCAATCCACAGTCAATATAGACGGCAAAGCATCCAAGTCATGTCAAGAACTATCACAAAATCAATCCCAAAATGAGGGTAGAAAAGAGGAGACCTTATTGCATCCAGGAACCAAGTCTTGCAGAATTTTCATCTTCTCACTGATCTTCTCTCTCCGAGCCTAACAATAAATGATAGAAATCAAAAACTGCATTACAGATGTTTACAAAAACTTGAAGGGCATGTTTCGTAATAGTGGATCGAACCAGACAGTATAAGAACAAGATTTTAACATATTTTCCTTATTCAATACTTTGCAGTATCACCTAATCCACTTTACAAAACATGTCACAAAGGTTTAAAAGGGTTTTACTCTCTCAGCTAGACTGTGGCTATCAGTAGCTTGGCCCCTTCTCGCTCTAACATGGATGTAATCTTTGGGTGGTTCGGGTTTACTCTTCTCCTCGGCTCCCTTGTTACCAGTCCCTGAATTTGCTTCTGCTTTCGGCTTTGAGCCATCATTTTCATCTCTGGATCCTGACGGTTTCATTCGTTTACCATTCGGCTCATTCTATCCCACAAAGGTAAATTGTTTACAACCAACATTCCAATACAATTAATTAAAATTAGCCACTTAACAACTAAAACTAAGAGTCCCAACTTTCTGGAAAATGTAAAAATCACAAACAGATCAACAAAAAAACTTTTACAAATTCAAAAATAGTTGCAAAATCAATAACATCAAAGGGTGTAAACAGTGTGGAGAGAGAGAGAGAGAGAGAGTTACCAAATCACTATAAGAACAGCTAGTGGAAACAAACTTAGAGGACTCGTCTTCATGAAAAGTTCCAACATCCATTCTCCTCTTCTCACCACGACTGCCACCATTTCTGCCGTGACTACCGCTCTGATCTGTCACGGTGGATTCTTCCACCGAAGCATCTCCTACTCCAAAACCTTCTCCACTACCACCCAAATTCCGCATTCTCATCCCCAATCCTCCTCCTCCACTTCCCCTCGGAAAGGATACTAACTCAACCAAACTATACGAAGCTGGATTTGACCCAGCAGTAAATGAAGCTTCATTTGTCAATTCAGGATCCATTTAAAAAATAATAATAATAATAATTAACTAGTTACTTATATATACACTTACTGTATAACATAACTTTTTATATGGTTGTCTGTAAATGTATAATGGGTGTTTGTAAATGCAGAGAAGAGATCAATATAAAGAAGAGAAATCAGTAGTACAGTGATTACTACTGGTAGTAGTAGTTGTAGAGAGAGAAGAGAGATAGAGACACTATGATGTGAGGTAGAGGAAGGAGATAGGGTGGCGTGGGTGGAGTAGGGTAGGAAAGCGCGCACCGCGCTTGGTGGCGTATTTTAGTGACGGAGAATCACCCATCTCTTTTTTTGGTAAATCTGAGGGGTTAATTTCACTAATGGTCGCTGAACTTTCATTTGTTTCAGATTCATCATCAAATTTTACAGAGCGTCTCATCAGGTCACTGAGTTACTTGACGGCGTCAACTTCATCAAATAAAATTAAACGGCCAATCAAGAAATTTGAGTAGGGTTTCTAAAATTGAAGGGGCTGTTCTTTTTGCTATTTACAATTTTTTAAAATAGTGAAAACATATGTACTTACCTATTTTAAAAAATGAGTTTAAAATTTATAAAGAAAACTGAAAACGTCAAAAATGTTGTTTTGGGTGTTTTCAGTTAAAATCAAACCAAAATTTTCAAAACGCATTTTGGGTGTTTTCGGCTAAGCCACCAACAACCACCTCCATTGCCCCCTACACACACCACCTGCACCATGCCGTCACCGCACCGCCCACGTCGACGACGTCACAGTCACAACAGCGGAAGAAGCCAACGATGCCATTGCCCAAAACCACCACAGCCACAACGCCACCGCGAGACGACACCGACCCAAAACCACCACATAACACCACCGCAATACGACACAAAAACACCACACACCACCACGCCATCGACCCAAGCCATTTGTACCAACCACAGCCACCACGACACACCACCGAGAGAGAGAGAGAGAGTTTTGGGTTTTTAATGTTTTAAAATAATTTTTAAAAATGACAAAAAGAACACATTTTCAACAATTTCAAAATGGACACTCAAAACACAAAACGAAAAACTAAAACAAGAAGAGAACAATCTCGAAGTTTTTGATTTGGTTTTAGGTTAATCGTATCAAAATTGTTAATTAGACTATCAATGATGCTAATTAATATTTATTAGAAAATGATATATATTTTTTTATTAATCTATTTAACGTTTAAGATAAAAATCTTCATAAGCATAAATATTCTTGACCAAATTACATATTTACTAAATGTTACTCCTTTTTTTTAAATGCTTATCTCGTTAATATCGAAACGAAAAAATTCTGTCAGTTAGTCTTATCAAATTTGGTCGATTATGGTAATTAATACCTCTCTATTTTGCTAATTAATACTTATTAATTGTTTATTTTAGAAAATGAAGTTTGTTTTTTAATCTATTTAATTTGTTTAGATAAAAATCTCCATAAGTTCACTTGAAGATTTATTCATGCTCCATGTATGCTGGCAGAACCCTTCAATAAATCTGTCTCAAGTGAATGTATATTTGTACTATTGGCGTTCTTATAATTGGGATGAAAGTAGTTCAATTTCTTCAAAATTGCCATGTAAAGTATTTATGGGTTTCCTAATATAATAGAAAAAAATTTAACTCTTTTCTTCTTTGGGTTCAATTTGAGTAAATTTTAAATCAGGTGAAATTTCATCACTCTCGTAAAATGGTGACTCATTTGAAAATATAAATTTTAAAACACATTTACTCGTTTGATTTTAAGACATCAAATTGCTTCCAGCCTATGTTTGAGCCCCAATTTCTGTTGAAAATAAGTTTTATGGTAGTAAATTTTTGAAGAATGTATGATTAAAAAGTATGATTTTTTTTAAGGTTTACGTGCAAAATATTTTATTGTGAAAATGTGATTGAAAATGAATTTGAGAAAAATAAATAAATAATGGGAATCAAACCGGGATGAGTATTAAGATTCCACCTTAAAAAGATCATCTTTATGCCCGCGAACTTTTATGGCGTAATCAAACAAAGATAAGAGAGAAAAATATACAATTAAGAGGGAAACCGGACAGAATTGAACCAATCAACAAGTTTGACATACTTTTGAGCACAATTGAACACGTTATATCGGAGAAATTGCGAAAAGGATCAAGTGTGAAGTAGAATAGACGGATTGGTGATGTTGATAAATAAGATAGATGCTTTTTTTAAAACAAGTTTACAGTTGAGAGAAGCTTTCAGGAGAGGCCAAATTCTTTTAACATTATTCTCTTGTCCTAATCCTTAGAGCCTAACTTGTCATTCACAACATAATTCTAATCAAACAAATGTTGTCACTATAGAAAGTCCATCTTCAACTTTCCAAAATATGGCATTTGTATTCTAAGGCTGTGAATAGTCCATCTAACAAATATGATGCAAAATAGTAAATTAAATTTTCTACGCGTGTTGCTAGGTGTTGTTTGTGCTCGTCTTTTGACTTCTTTTAAGACATCTTGCAAGTGAAGGTTACGTTACTTATGTAGTAGTGTTGACACACAAAAGGTGCAGCCCAAGCAGAAGGCCCAAAGGAGCAAGGCCCAATCGAGGTCCCAGTATCCGAAGAGCGGAGCCCAATTGAAGGTCCAGTATGAGAGCCTGAATAAAAGTGTGGGCAAGTGACATAAAAGCCCACGAAGCAAA